CATAGACATGCTGCGACGGGGTTATCACGAGTCCTTCTCCGAGCTCTTCACTCTGATACAGAAGTGGAATGCCTTGAGGGAGGCTGCAGGGCCTGGGTCAGCCATATGGCAGCAGAAGTCCCTGGAGGAGCAGCCTGATAAGCTGGATCAGCTTTACCACTTCCTGACCAGGGCTGAGGCAGCCCAGCGAGCAGGTAAATGGGGGGATTGTGGGTAGCTCAGCAGCGGGAGCTGCAGCCGCCAATGCCTGGGGGAAGCTTCCAAATTGTTTCATGTATGAATTTGAAACGTTACTGCATCTTAGCACATTTCAGCCTTAGTCAACTAAGCTGTATTTATAGAATAAATGATTAGGAACTGCAGATATCGGGAGAGGTTTTGCTGAGAGAAAAAAAGGGGAAAAACATCTCGAGTGCATTATGATATCATCAGAAATGTTTGATGTATTTATAGCTTTGGTAACATCTCAATTATTTTCTCATAGTTTCCTTATTTATTGTTTTTCTTTCTCTATTGATTTGAGTCACTGGTTTTGTATTAGAAAAATTTAATAGGTGAAATGCTGTTTCACACAGTAATAGTTTTATAAATCTGATTTTATTAAATACCCTGTCTGCTAACTGTGTTTGGATTTGTGACTGACTTAAAAGGGATTGTGAACATGTCAAATAAAATACAGCACACAGATGTAACATGCCACCTGTGAATTACCAGGTATTAGTGAAGACATAACTCCAAATTACTGTATTTTCTCTATTGCCTACTATTTACTAAGCACTTGTATTTATCATTTTCTTTTACTATAAATAGTAACACACTTACTCCATCTTTCTCCTTTGGAATAATTGTAGGGGTGGAGACAGATAAAGCTCCAACTGCAATTCTGTTTCATGGCTGAGCTGATTTCACTATAGTTGCCTTGTTTCAAGTTGCGTTTTGATCATTACAAATATGAAAATCTACCATGAAGCTTGTAAGTTTGGAACCTAAGCTTTTTGACTGAAATTTGGAAACAGACAACTTCCTTTTAAAAAGGAACAGCAAAAAAAACGTTTCAGCACTTGTAAAATAAACATTCTAAATGAACATTTTTTTTTTATTATTTACTACGAAAGCCAAAAGTTGTGGTCTATTATTTAATTCACTGTAATTTTGGGCAGGAAGTCTAGCCAGCCCATGATGGGAAGGAATCTTCAGATTTGTCTGGACTATGACTGAAACCTGAACGGGCACCCCTGTAGCCTGCAGGAGTACGAGAGAGAAGTTTTGTGCTCAGACTGCCCTGACAGAAGCATACTGCCAACTCTTTGATGTTCAAAAAGTAGTAGGTATGGGTTGTCTTGATGGACATGCTTCCTGCAGCTGCTTGAGGGGAGCACCTGGCCTTCCTTCAGTGCGTGATATTTTTCAGTGTTACTGATATGTAACAGCATTGGCAGAAATGCTCCCAGAGAGTCCAGGCTCTGCTGACTGTGCAGTTTCTGCCCCTATGAAAGGCAGGTGCCCTTTTTCTCACTGAACCCAGCATTCGTCCTTTGCTGTGCTGGGCTCTGTAAGTCTTTCACCTCTCACAGACAAGATACCACCAATGGTCTGACTGATTGTATCTTGCCTCTAGGAGATAATGTCTCCCAACTTGTCTGCTAAAGTTTGTTAAAATGAAAGACTAGAAAATGATGAGAATGTGCCAATAGAGTTGGCAAACATCTTTACTGAACTGCTAGATTAAGTTATAGTTAGTTTTGATTTTTTTTTTCACCAGTTTCAATGCAAACCTTTGCACAAATCTCTTGTTTGTATTGAGTTGTGAGTCACCTGGCACACAAAGGGGTGGATGCTAATTCATGTTGCAGGTGTTAGAACTAGGAGTGCTGGGAAGATAACATGAATTATACAGCTCATCAAATACTAATTCAGTAGTTCCGCTAATCCAGTTACTCTCTGATTCTAATCAAATCGCTCAGGGCTCTGGCTTATGATCTCCTGACAACTGTAGTTGACACCATTTAAGAAGTGTTCAGCAGTTCACCTCAGCTGGAACTTACCATGATGTAGCAGTCACAACAGCAGCTGACCTACATTTGCTCTTCAGCTGCCACAGTTCAAGCTTAAATGGCTGAAAGTAATATTTAGGGCTGCAGAGTGTGAGAGCTTCACAGTGTGGCTGTTGTCACTAGTATTTGACTAGCTGGAAGTTTACCTGTTTCAGGTATGCCGTCTGGAGCTAGCACTTGTGTTGAAGAGATAGCAGGTATAAATTATGAAAAAAATAAATACATAATCTTTGTGACTTGTAATTTTTTTGATGAATTTAAACTTCATGAAGGGATTGCCTTTGAATTTGAGGTGCTAAGTGGAAAACAAAACTTCACTTACTAAGTTAATAAAAAATTTTCTTATTTGTTATTTAATTTTTCTCACCTGATATTTCTGTATCATGGAGTGTTGCTGTGCTAACTGTGAATATAACTTACAACTACTACCCCTAAATTTAGAGTTTTATGGTTGTTACCATAGTGCACAGAAAAAGTTAGGTATTCATTCACTTCCTGTATTTATTGGTGGAATATTTTAGTTTTTTTGATAGCTTGTAGTTATAGGATGCTATAATGCTGGATGTAAATTGTTTGCTTGAACAGAATCAGTGCCATCCATCATGATGTGGAGGCTGGTATCAAGATGCAATTATGTACTTTATTGCTGGGTTTGAAAATAGCAACTTTTTGTTTACCAGTGTCATGCTGTACAGACCGTTTGCCTTTACATACACTAGTGAATGTTCTCTCTGTTTTCATTTTTTCGTGGAGCATTTTAATTGAACTTCGACTCATACAGGACTTGTCTTTTTTTTTTAAATTGGCTATTACAAATATTTTATTGTGTGTAAAGAAAATATTTTTTTTTCTGTCCAGTTTAATCTCATTGTCATTATATATGAATACCTCCTAATTATTTAAAAATAAAGAGCTAGCGTTAATCCTTGCAGCTTTTCAGAAAAATAGCTGACAGAGTTATTTTGCCCTAGTTACAACATTATCCCCAAAACACTGGCAGAAATATTGATAATACTTGACTGCATTCCTATTTGGTCTTTTTTGATGCAAATAATGTAAATGTTTCTGACTTCAAAATTGAGTTGTTTTGAAATATTCCTTCATCTTTCTTCATTATCATGGAATAACCTTTCTTTTTACTAGTTCTGGTCTCAGTAGCTTAAAAAAAAAAAAAAAAAAAAAAACAAAAAAACCAAAAAAAAACCCCCAAAAAACCAAAATGAGATAATTTAGCTGTTTAAATATGTATAGTTGTAGGGTTTTTTATAGAAGAATGCAGGATAAATGCCAAAGCAGTGTATCTACGTAGCTCAGCATTTGATGTGTACAGTTCTTTCTTGGCACATGTATTACAATGTTATGATTTTTTTCAAAAAGAAAGATCTATTTTGAGGCTGTGGAATCGCCTACGCAGTTGCCTGCTTGCCTGCCTGATTGTACTGGTCAGAGTAATTTCATGTAAAGATATAACTGTTCTTGAGAAGTATAATACAGTGCTGGCAGGTTGTTGTTGCTATCTCTTTGAAGAGCCATAGCTCCCTAGCCCCTACTCGGTACTGTTCTGTGAGTTAGCAGGAGGCTGAGTTTGAAGCTGCGGTCCATCCTTGTCTGACACTGAGGGTTGCTAACCAAATATCTTTTGGCTGCTGAGACCCTGTGAACAAATGATGACCATACCTTATGGAGGTACACCAACTAAATAAACCTTTTTTTGTCTGTCTAAGACCCAGATAAAATTTGACACTATCTCTGGGTGTTTGGCTGGGTCACGGGGAAGAAGTAGGAACAAGGGAAATCCAATTAAGAAGTCTTCTAATTATATTTTGGAATTTTTGAACAGCACCCAGAGTAACATATGCCTGGGAGAACCATTCATTATAATGATAATGTTGCAGTTCCTCAGATAAAAATATTTAAAAGTGAAATTAAAATCTTTAAGATGGTATTAGCACAGATTTTACCACATGAATGTAACTGATTCTTTAAATCACTACTTAGCTGCTACAGTCTGTCTTATTGTTTTAAAATGCATTGCTAATTTACTTGTTGGGTCTGCATGCTCATTAGGCTAAGTCACTTTGAATCATTTTATCAAAGTATTGCGTAGCTACTTTTAGTTAGCACGGAGCCTACAAGAAGAATGATTGACATAGATTATACTGTATGATTGACAAGGTTATACTGTAAAATATCAGTCGTGTGTTTTAGACTCAGGTCAGACTCTAAGTGATAGCATGCTAAATTTGCTTTTTCTCATATTAGGGGTCACCTGTCCCAGTATTATTTCAGAAGGGCTTGGAAAGGATTGCTCTTCAGATTACGTTTGAATTACGTATTAAATATAGGCTTGAACTCTTACTGAATCCTTACCTAGGACTAGCAGAGGCCTTGAAGAGCTGGTATGATCAGCGTTTGCTAGAGTGAGCTGGTTTACTTATCTTGTACAAGGTGAAGGGAATGCACGGCAAGTTACGGCTCCAGAACAATTAAAAGAGATGTCTCAGCCATTGGCTCTACGTTGGCAGAGCAGGGAAGCAAAACCAGGGAAAATGCCACAGTTCAGTGGCTGCAACGTGTACTGAGCAGTCAGCACTATAGTGGCAGATCACCGTGTTCACTGTGCCAAAGCCAGTGCACGGAACCTGCGCTCGCGTATGGACATGCCTTTGAAGGGGCAAGACACTGCTTATTAGCTGATGGTGGAGAGTAGGAGTTAAGACCTGGAAGCTGTTGCCTTTCTCAGATTCCATCTGCTCCTGGTTCCTGACCCCAGGCAACCTTTGTGGTGTGCTGTTTGCTAAATGCTCAGTCTGTGCACAGGATACAGGCTGCTGACCCTTGTTCAAGAGAATATCAGACACACGGAATTAGAAGGGAGTGCTAACTTGGCTCTTTTTTCCTCATTTCAGTGTAGAGAAAACTTCTGACAGTATGAGTTATCATTTGTTGTTGTTGTAAAAGATGACTTTTCATAAAGTATATGAACAAAGCATGAGTAATTGATGTGTTTGCAGTAGAAAATCTTTCTTGGAGATACGTAAGGTTGAAAACAGTTTAGCATTTTACAGTGGAAAGCTTTTCTGTAAGATTTCACACGTACGCCTTAGGCTGGGCTAGAAACATTGCAATAACCATATTAC